CTCCCCCTCCACGCAGCTCCTTCTCCTCTCTATCCCCTATCTCCTCCTTCCCTCCCTCTCCATCCGGTCCACCAGTTCCCTATCTTCCCCTTCTCTCCTTCTCCCCCTCCTCCTCACCAGCTTCCCTATCTGTCCCCTTTCCTTTCTCCCTTCTACCCTTCTCCCCTCCTTCCTCCACGCATGCTCCCTTCTCCCCTTCTTACCCTCCTCCTCCAACCGATATATATACCTTCCTGTATCCCCTTCTCCTTGCTCCCCTCTCCTCCTCCACCAGCTCCTTTCTCCCATTCTCACCTTCTCCCCATCCTCCATTTCACCAGCTCCCTTTCCCTATCCCTTATCCCCTTCATCCTCTTCCCCCTCCTCTCCACACGCTCCCTTCTCCCTTCTACCCTCTCTCTCACCAGCCTCCTTCTTCCCTTCCTTTCCTCCCTTCTCCCTTTCATCCCCCTCTCTCCACCAGCTCCCTTCTCCCCTTTCCTGATCCCCTTCTCCTTCTCCCCTCACTCCTCCACCACGCTCCCTTCTCCCTCTACCCCTCCGTCCTCCACCAGCTTCCCTGTCTCCTCTCCTTTCTCGTCTTCCTCCTTTCTCACCAGCTTCTCCCCTCCTTCTTGCTTCCACAGCTTCTCCCCTCCGTCGCACCACCTCTCCTTCTAAACTTCTCTCGTCACCAGCTTCGTCCTACCTCCCTCCACAACCCTCTCCCTTCTCCCATCCTCCTCCACCAGCTCCTTCTCCCCCTCTCCTCCACCAGCGTCCCTTCTCCGCTTCCTTTCCCGTTCTCCTTTCTTCCCTCCTCCTCGGCTCCACACTTCCCTCTGCCCTTCTCCCTCCTCCTCACCAGCTTCCCCTTCTCCCCCTCCTTTCCACCAGCTATTTTCCCCCTCTCTCCACCAGCTTCTCCCCTCCTCCACCACCTTCTACCCTTTCTTAAACGTCCTCCTTCTTCACCAGTATCTCCCTTTCTCCTTCTCCACCAGCTCTCCCTTCCTCCCACCAGTTCTTCCATCTCCATCCATCCACCTTTTCTCCTCTTCTCCCTCCTCCGTCCACCAGCTCCCATTCTCCCCCTCCTTCTCCTCTTTCCTTTCTTTCCACCAGCTTCTCCCCTCCTTTTCTCAGCCAGCTTCTCCACCCTCTCCACCACCTTCTCCCTTCTAAACTCCGCCCAGTGCGTATAGTCCTTCCCTACGACACTAGCTGGCAGCTGGCCACTGTGTAATACTACATAGCTACACATACCGGATGCAATTGAAATCATTCGTTAGATTTTTTCACACTTGCATGGAGATTTGGACTACGCTATTTGGCATAAAGAATATTTCTATTACAATTATATATATAAATATACACATATATTTAACCATGGTTAATCAATTACTTTCTCATGTTTTATTGTTGTATAATGTTGTTAATATTGCTTGTGTGTTATAGTATTCGCTGGTTCTCCATGACATGGTTTTTATGCAAACAGCCGCGGAGCGAGGTTTTGCATTCCTAACAATGGCGGAGTGGCGTAGCTCCCATTGCGTACTAACGACGATCATTGCACCGTGATTTCGCATTTGAGTGGTTTATCTTGTTCACTCTTAGGATCTTGAGTGCTACAGTTAGTGTTGTGGTGGGCCAGGTTAGCTCGTTATGACTTGTTGTTGATCTGCAGTGCATGGTGGACCGGTTATTAAACAAATACGCGCTGGTTTTCCTGCGAACGAATTCGGAATTCTTGACGATCAGATTCCCGCCGCTGGCCAACTTCTTATAGTGTCGGTGGAATTTAACACGGGGCGACGGTAATTTCAAACGGGGCAGCCGCAACCGATTTCAAACGCGGAGTGGGATTTTTCCAAAACGGGGCGGGTTTCGCGAGCCCGTTCTTCGCGCAACGGTCAGCGGAGAAACCCCTGCTACCTACCCTATTTTTTTACGGCACTGAACGGGTACACCACCTATATTTTGTTTGTTTTTGGCCTTACGTAATATTTGACTGGAAATATTTTATTACTTTTAATCTTGCGCGATTATCGAAAACCAAATAGGCGATCATTTAGGCGTGGGCATCTTTCGGCCAGATTTCTACTTTCAGATGCATGAAAAATTCTATTTTCGCATCAAACTAAAACCTGAAACAAAACAGGTAAAATTTCTTTCAGTATAAACAGGGAATAAGGAATTTGCTCAACCATTTCGAGTCGTCTCATAAAATGAAACAACTTGCCAAAATTATTAAATTCATCTGCCCTGTTCTATCACCCCAAGGTGACTATATTGGTTCACTGACACTTTCACTTTTTGATAGCCATATGCCCTTAGTACAACTGCAGTACTGGCAGCTCTTCTGCTGCACATGACCATTACTCATTTCACATATCTTAAAATTTATTGATTTAGGTCAGACTCAGCTATGTGCTATTGACGGGACTGGTGTCGCTGTCGAAAGAATCAATCAGTGTAGTCAACATAACTACTAAGTGACAGATTGATCAAAGTTAGACCAATGGCGGGACCAAGACATGTCACCATATTGCATTTTAATGATGTGTACAACATTGAGGCCACAGGACATGGACCCACCAGGTGGTTGCTAGTTTACAAATTTATAACTGCGATAAGCATTATGGTCATTCTAGATTCCTCTCTGGTTGTGTTCAGTGGTGATGCACTAAACACCCCATCTCTGCAGTGATGTATTTATTTTAATACCGAATATTACAAGCCAATGTTACATGCTGCTTAGTACCAAAAAGACTAATCCGTCGTGTTGCATTCTTTTCCCCCTCCCTTTCTAAAATGGTTTATTGTCGGAGAATATTTATTATGCAAGGATATTTATGTTCTTTTATTTTGCAACCGTTTTTTATTGGTTTTAACAAAATGTAGGCATATCTTTGTGAGGCTTTTCCAGTTCCTGAATTCAAGTTTGCTTGTTTGGTGAAAATATGTATAGATTTAACATAATGTATTTTAACGATGTATTTCCTTGTGGTTGTTGCATGTTGCTCTATTTTCCGAATTTTGTATATCTGTGTATGGTGGTGAGTGTCGTGGTTGGGTGTTCTTACATGAGTGTCCTATATACCCACACTTAGGAGTATGATTTGTGTGTCTGATGTAGACATACGTTCACTCACCTAAGAGGTGATGCCATGTAACATATGTATCTACAGTAGACCAGCCAGTCATTGTTGCAATCCCGGGGCCTGTTGCCTGGAACAAAATTATAGTCCTAAACATTAGTCCTTAACATTAATTTATCCTCTCTCTGTTTACTCGTCATTTTTACTATTGTTCTGTCCCTTCTAGAGTTAATGTGTTTATTCTATTGTCACTACTGTCTCCTACTGGTATGATTAATGTGTTCTGTGACCTTTCCTGACTGTCTCTGTAAACCTGCATTTCTGATTTATTCCTATTTTCTATGTCTCTATGTCTATATTTGAACTCTGTATTACATCAAGAGCTAATAATACCTAATAGGTATTATTATAGCTCTTGATTACATATAGACAATTGGTCGCACAGCCTGGTCAGGCTATATCGACACGTGAGATTAGGTGAAATACCAACAATATTGTGATCGCTCGTTTTTGGCTCACCTTGACATCGTCAAGATGAGCTATTTCTATGGGGCGTCGTACTTCCGTCTGTCCGTCAACATTTGGCTACGGTCAACGATAACTTGAGAACCGTTTGACCCACATGTTTCAAATTGCATACAGTTGTTACTCCTATGGAAGAGATGTGAACGTCCTATTTTGGGGCACGCCAGTTGACCTACTTTCGAGCCACTCCCACTTTGGCAAAAATAGAAATGGCCATGTCAGTTCAGGTTCAATGGATTTTGCTGATTTTAGGTACATGTGAATGAATAAGAACTGCATATGGCCCCAAAACATATCACACGGGTTTTGATTTTTTTTGTTAATTATGCAAATTAGGTAGATTTTGGCAATTTCGCTATATATGCATTTCAGTGTCTGCCTACGGTCAACGATAACTCAAGAACCGTTTGACCCACATGTTTCAAATTGTTGCTCCTATGGGATAGATTTGCACGTCCTATTTTGGAGCATCCCAGTCGACCTACTTCGAGCCACGCCCACTTTTTGGCAAAAATGGAAATGGCCATCAAGATTCATTCGATTTTGTTAAATTTACCTACCTACCTACCTAATCATACCTACGTGTAATATATTGCAGGGTGCGAAATTAACGGGAGTCTGGAGTCAAATACTCCCTGATTTACTGTCGGATTCCCTGATTTGACATATGCAGGAGTCCGTGTGACTCCCTGAAAATTCTGCCATACTAACTAGTTCGTTCCGGAGCAGGGCCTCGCGGAATTACTGTATTTTTTCAGCTAATGTGCAAAGAAATTTTGGCAGACGTGCAACTGCATGAATCTTAAAAATAAGCACATGTATGCGTTATTGTTAATATCTTTAATTTTGAACCTCAGACTGCGGACTCCTTCATTTTGCTGCAGACTTCCTCTTTTTGAGGGTAGGGAGTCCAGTCCGTTGGGCTCCCTTGTTAAAAAGTTTATTTCTACCCCTGAATTATTGTGTTTTAGATTCTTCATTACAGTAATTTGACTGGAATATTTTATTACTTTTATTTGCGCGATAATCGAAAACCAAAATGGCGATCATTTAGGCGTAGCGCCATCTCTCGGCCAGATTTCATACTTTCAGATCTGAAAAATTTATTTTCGCATCAAAACTAACCCTGAAACAAAACAGTAAAATTTCTATTAATATAATTTAACAGGGAATAAGGACATTTGCTCACATTTCGGTCCATCATAAATGAAACACTTACACAATTTTAAATATCATCTCCCTCTTCTATCACACCCAAGGTGAGCTATAGTGTCATTGACACTTTCATTTTGATAGCCATTTATGCCCTTAGACTTAGTACAATGCAGTATGCAGCTCTCTACTGCACATACCATACTCATTCCATATTTAAATTTATTACTTTAGGTCAGATCAGCTATCAGCTATTGAGGACTGGTGGCTGTCGAAGAAATCAATCAGTGTAGTCAACATACTACCTAAAGTGACCAGATTGATCAAAGTTAGACAATGGCGGACCAAGACCATGTCACCATATTGCATTTTAATGATGTGTACAACATTGAGCCACAGGACATGGACCCACCAGGTGGTGCTGCAAGATTTATAACTGCGATAAAGCATTATGCTCATCTAGATCCCCTGGTTGTGTTCAGTGGTGATGCACTAAACCCATCTCTGAGTATGTATTTATTTTAATACCACATATTAAAAGCAATGTTACATGCTATAGTACAAAAAGAACTAATCTGTGTGATTCTTTTCAAAATAGGTATTGTCAGGAGCAGGCCCGTAGCCAGCTTTCTATTGGGGGGGGTTCGTTTTTCAATGTTGGCAATTTGCTCGGCAGGGGCGTGTACAGGATTTGTACCAGGACCCATCCGAGGACGGTTAACGTTTTCCGAACATTCCAAGAACATAACTCTCTCACCAAGTAAAACCAATAAATGCATAACGATATGGGAATGTTCTTAGAATATTTTTGGCTAATGTAACCAAACTAGAACCTCCAGCGAATGTTACGAGAATGTTCCGTGTTTGCTGGGCAGGCGCATCGGTTAATTGGTGAGTATAGGCACTGTCGTATTGTCCTTGTCGTTGTGGGGTGAGTAAATAATACAGTACTAGTAGTAGTCGAATATTATAAATAGGTTGGTTTAATATTCCTAGACTAGAGTACGGGTATTGAGAAGTATTAACTGTCGTGCACGGCTGCACGGGAGGAGAGGCCGCCGGTCACTGTAGGCCTTCGCCTGGCTGCGTTCATAGTTTATTCTATTTGTTTAACCTCTGTGCTTACCCGGGGTGTGCACTTGTTATTCAACGTAACGTATAAGGCCGGCAGGCAGGGGTGGGGTTACCCCATTGTGGTGTCTGGGGTGTGTGTCGCCCCTCGTCTGGCATGGTTGACTAACTCTACGACGCACCGAACCGGAACACGGCAGAACGGGTTATTGCGGGAGCGCAGTAGCCTCGAAGCGCTCGGGTGGCTAGCAGGGTCCGGGAGGCGACGATACGGCCAGTTTCAACTTCTTCGGACACAACAGGTGAGTGCAATACCTAAGGTTGTGTGCTAGCCACTAAGTGTCGACCGGTGGCGCCATCGGGTCTCGCCGGAAAACACGAAACGCTACAAAGGGAACTGTCGACAGCCGTCATGTTGAAGATGTTGGCGACGTTGTTTTGCCTGAAGTTCTTCATGTAACTGTGATGTTCTGCACACAATGGCCAACTTCGTCAATATGATCGATTTGGATGACATTTGTCACGCGTAGTTAGACTTATATTGCTGAACGGCGCATATATGATCGCCGGAGAATGTATAACTGTACAGCCACCTGTACATGAGCCGGCAAAGGCAGTCTGCTAAGGCAGTTACAAGTATAACACACAAAGAAACCATCGAACCATGAAGAACACGGGTCAAGAGTGGTATTTCCTTACTGCTTATAAGGCTGGTGAGGTTGGAATAAACGGTTACAAAGAAATAAATCACAATATATGCTGTTATATGCTAGGACTCTATATGCTTTACATTGCACGGTCGTTCAATTGTCAGACATTGCGCGACGACATACCCCCAGGGGCGTGTACAGGGGGGGGGTCTAGGGGGTCCGGACCCCACCCTGCTCGCGCAGAAAACGCATCTAAAGGGGTCTAATTTCAAAAAATATTCTGGGGGAGGAAAAAATTCCCCAGACCCCCCCTTCGCGTGTTCGCAAGTTTGGTTTACGGTTAGACCCCCCTTCCTTGGTACAAATCCTGTACACGCCCCTGGCCCCACCATAAAAATCAGGACACAGAAATAATGCATACGGAAGAATACCCAATACATCATCATTCACTAACCGAATACTTCAGCACCAGCGAAATGGTCCGTCAAGGCAGACGTTAAGTAACACACAAATATCGTCAATGAATGTTGTATAGAGTTACAGCTATAGCTGCAAACAAAACATGAATTACAACGAATGAACACCATTTCTCAGCTTTAAGCATGGACTCAATGAACAGAAGGCTATAATTAAATGAACGCACGTAGGCCCTACGTACGTACACGTACACGCAGATATATACACGCGGGTATACGGAGATACACGCACGTACACGCGGGTACACGCACGTGCACGCAGGTACACGCGGGTACACGCACGTGCACGCTGGTATCTCCGTGTACCCGCGTGTACGTGCGTGTATCTGCGTGTACGTGCGTTTACCCGCGTGTACGTGCGTGTACCTGCGTGTACGTGCGTGTATATCCATGTACCCGCGTGTATACGTGCGTGTATTTGCGTGTATCTGCGTGTATCTGCTATAACAAATAGTTGTCTATCTATTTCTATGATATAGCCACGCAGACTCTGTATATTTTATTGAAACGCTGCAAGTGCCTGTGACGTTATCGCTCGCAACCAAAGCGCTACGAAATATGTTTTTCTCGGCCAAAAGGTGGCAGTACGTGCATAGTGCGTGACGTCATCATTAGAAATCCACTCCACTGTGATTTATAACACTCCAGCAGAGCATATAAAAATCACAAGGTGATTTATATGCTCTGATTAAAGCAACACGCCTGCAGTGCTGGAAAGACCAGAAGTGAGTTATTACTATTAGTTTCCATTGGCAATTTGCCATCACATTGGTACCAAAGGTAGTTAGCAAGCATCGTTCCCCTAACGTACGTATAGTACTAGTAGGAGAATAGTAACGTAGGGGAATATCCGAATTTAGTAACGTAGGAATAGAACGACCAAAGTCAAACATCGTATTAGTGCCGGAGTCCTATGCTTATATAACTCTAGTACTATAGCCGCTTACATTAACTGCCGCTGGCGGCCGCCGGCCGCAAATTAACGGCCGATTACAATTAACGGTACGGAACGGAACGGTACGGAACGGCCCGCACAATTAACGGCTGCCGGCCAGCGGCAGCGGCAGCGGCTATGTATATACAGCGGAATACATACAGCGGCAGCGGCTATAGTACTAGAGCTAATGCCTATAGTATATGGCTATGGCGCATGCCGCATCTTTGGGAACGACGAATAGTAACATTTCATTGTTAATTGCTTGTATATTTTACTTTTTTACTGTGAATACAGAATGCCATCAGTTCGCGATGAAGTTTTATAGCTAATTTAATTAATTAACAAATTTAGCTAGTAGTAGTAGTGCTACTACTAGTATAGTAGGGTGACTAGTACTAGTAGTAGTAGTTAGTTGGGTAGAAATAGAATCACTACCGTACCTACTAGTTAGTTAGTGTATTTATAGAGGCTACTGTCCCTTTAAGTAAGGATTTTACTGCATACAACTGTACTTACTGTATAACAAATCGTCTATACCCACACATATTTGTTACCAAATACCTAATTTAATTGTTATAATTATTTACACATCAACGCTACGAAATTTGAAC